CGGGCTCTGGCTGCTGTGCTCCCTACCTGGACTCTTCGGCTCTTAAACAGAGCCGAAGAGTCAAGGTAGGAAGCACAGGAGCCGGAGCCCGGGAGGGGAAGTGCCCAGCCGGGGGCGCAGGGTCTGGAGGCATGGGGGCTGCCTGAAGCCCGAGCGCTACCGGCTTCATGGTTTGCCAGGCAGCCTCCAGACCCTGTGCCCCCCAGCTGGGTGCTTCCTCTCCCGGGCTCCAGCTGCACTGGGGAAGTGCTGGCTGGGGGCGCAGGGTCTGGAGACTGCCTGGCAAACCATGAAGCCGATAGCGCTGGGGCAGCCTTTTCGCGTGGCTGGGAGGGAGGAGGGGGAGTTAGGGCGGGGACTTTGGGGAAGGGGCGGGGAATGGATGGAGTTGGGTGGGGAAGGGGCGGAGTTGGGGCGGGGCCGGGATGGGAAAGGGGCGGGGCCAGGGCTCCGTGGAGTGTCCTCTTTTTTATTTTTTAAATATGGTAACCCTACTGTTGTTATTTGAAGCATTAGGATAATTCAATGTGATTTTTATCATGTCTCATATGTGGTGTGCTTCTTAATGTCCCAGGTCTTGGAATAAGACTCTCGGCACTTTCATTTTTCAAAAAATAAGAGTCTAGGCCTTGAGGGGGCAGAGAAAAACTTGAATACATGACCCAAGTGCACCCTGAAGACTCCAGAAATCAAATCAATACTGTTTTTAATATCTGATCTTTTTAAGCCAATTTCAACATTTTGGAGGTCTGATTCATGATTTTTGAATGCATGGGGCTGGTAATACTGGAAGATAAAAACTGAAGCTGAGATGATTGAGAGGAGTACCTACTACTGAGTGCAGCTATACAGCACTTCAACACAATGGACTGTATTCCTAATATTCGACTAGAGTAAAAATGACAAATGACAAGAAAAACAATTTTTAAAAACCAAAAAATATACTGTCATGGTTCTGAAGCACATTAGTTCCCTTTCGGGTCCCTCTGGGTTTTTCTACTCTGCAATTAGACACCGGTGGCTGGCCCGTGCCGACTGACTCGGGCTCAGGGACTGTTTAATTGCAGCATAGATGTTCAGCCTGTTTGCTAATCAGGATAGGCAGGATTTTCAAGAGCACTCAGTGCTGACTAGAGTTGGTTGAAGAAATTTCACCCAAACATTTTGTCAATGGGAAATGGCTTTTCAGGCACATTTTTTGTTTTGGTTGATTTTTTTTTCCAATGAAAAACTGAATTTCAACATCTGAAAGATGGTTCGGTTTCTTCCGTCCACCCACCTCTGTTTCTTATTTCCTTCCCCCGCCTTCCCTTTTCTAGTGAGTGTGAGTGGGGGTGGGGGTAAAGAAGAAGGGAGAGAAAGGGAGCAATAAAACCAGGGGAAAACAAAATCATTTGTTTGAAAACTGATTTTTTTTGTTCGTCAGTTTAACCAAAAAACTGAAACAATCTGTAAATTTTCAAATAAAATGAAATTTTCTTTTAACTTTTTCACAGACGGTATGTGCTATTTTCTAACCAGCTCTACCTTTGATCTAACTGGGGTCCCATTAGTGATAATACTCCCATTAACTCAATAGGAGCAGAGTCAGCCCAGAGCTTGAGCGCTGTAAAAAAAAAAAAAATCACACTCCTGTTTCCTACAAAGCAGCATGTTGCTAGTCAGGGTGAACAGAATGACTTCATGCCCGCATGTGGGTAATTTCACTTCTTTGTTTCATCACTATCACTCATAGGCTGGGCCTGGAACTGGCCGACACCCCAACTACAGGTCACCTAGAGAAGTTATTCCAGCTGAAGCTGCAGATTCTGTAGAACTGCATAAGAGGCCAGATTGCCCTAAGCCAAGATCTGCATTGCTGACAGAATGCAGGATGCTTTGCACCTCCCTGCCATAAAACTCATTATTAAGTAGGGATTGCTTTGCTTACTCTGCCACGAGTTACAGCCTCTGGAAGGCCTTGGATATTTTCTAATGGTTTGAAACTTAAGAGTCCTTCCTCATCTTGGAAGTTATTAGTGGTCATTTTGTCCGTAAGAGCTTAAAATTGACTATAGATACTTAAACTCTAGCGAGTTGCAAAGAGTAGGTGAGTTTTAAAAATTCAGTATGTTGATTCACGTAACATGGAGAATGGGGTGCAATTAGATACTGTGCAATTATGCAGGTTTTTTAAATTGCTTTAAAGTTATTTCAAAGGAGAATGCACAAGGTGAAATATATTGCAGTGTATTTTAACTATGTATTTTGTTCAATTTCAGCCTGCTTTTGGAAATACTGTGTTCAGAGCAAATAGATTTTAGCCCTTCAATCAACGGACCATTTTGGTGACTAAGGAATTTGACCCTGACAAAGAAATCTTCAAAATCTGAAGCCTTTTCCACACAAACAATTAAACAGCAAGTAATAAAGTAACTATTTGACCATATTTGCCTTGCGTATAATATGTATTTAAAGGAAAAATGTAAATATTTTTATTTAAAATAATATAATAAAATAATTTTTGTACAAGCAAGATTGTATAACAAAATTTCTGAACCTAATATACACTGTAGGTATCTTTGGAGAAAATACTAGGCCCCTTGCTTTGCACTTTGAAAGAAATAGCAAACCAGAATTTATTTCTGCTTTTATGATAGTTGGAGTGTCACATATACTCTTAAAGCATGATCCCAATGCTGCAACCCTAGTAATACAACCAGTCTGGCTGAAATCAATGAACATTATTTCTCTTTACTGATACCTGAAGAAGGAGGCTCAGGGGATCTCTGTGAACAAAGATCCTCTCATGGAGTTGGCATCTCGGAGATTCCCCATGGAGTCCCTTCAGAGTAGTGGGTGGGGTTTCCCTTGTGAAAAGCACTGCAGGGCCAGCCAGTTCCCAGACCAGGCAGCTCCTGGTGCGGGAATCTGAGGGAGACAAGGCTATCCCTGTGGAAGCCCTGTGCTAGCAGGGACTCCCACCACCTGCATTGTCCTCAGAACTTCCCAAGGCTGTCGTCTCTTTGGGTTTTTTTGGCTGACCCACTCCTTTCCCCCTCCTGCCAACTCTAACCCTCTTCTCCGCTGGAAGCCCCACACAGATGCTCCATGGGGTCTGGAGGTGGAGAAATGTGGCAAGGAGGAGACTGATCGATGCTTCCGGATCTAGGGAGTGAGCCAATGGAACTTCCTGTGTGACTAAATGGTGAAGGTCCAGGCCCCACGAGCCTGATTTTCAGAGGTGCTGAGTGTCCACAATTCTGTTTGAAGTCAAGGGGAATTGCAGATGCTCAACACCTCTGAAAATCAAGCCCTATGAAAACTTGTTTCAGATGAGACTGTTTCATTTTTCCTTTAGGCTTTTAGCAAGTGACATTACTGCAACTTTTTTGTTTAAGAAGCAAAAACCTAATAATATCCGGTACATCGACATTGCAAAAACACCCCTGAGACAGCGAGTCTCAGAGCCCGAATCAACTGACTCAAGCTTGGACCGCTCAGGCTATGGAGCTAAAAGCAACAGTGTAGCTGTAGCCACTCAGGCTGCAGCTGGAGTGCTGATAGATGTAAACAGTGGGTGCCTAACCACTAGCCTTAGGCAGGAGATAAGTGCCCAGTGCCTAGAGGGCAGCAGCAATGCACATGCTTAGCATATGTTTATACTGTGGCTGGGAGTGTGCTTCCCAGTTCAGCTAGGCAGGCAGTCCTAGCTCTGTTTGAGTTAGTATGCTAAAAATAGCACTGAAGCTGGGATAGCACAGGCTAGCCACCCGAGGTTCCAGGCATCTTTGTACTCAGGCAGCTAGCCCAAGCTGCCACCTGGGCTATCCCCAGCTACACTGCTACTTTTAGCTTGAGCAGAGCTAGCTTGTGTCTGTCTACCCAAGCAGGGAACCTCACTTCCACCTGCTGCGTAGACAGATGTACCCTAAGAGCCAGAAACATAAGCACCAAAGGAACATTTACCCTGAAAACTTTGGCGCCAAGTGAGTTAAGGCACCTACAGTATTCGGTAGGAGTTTTGTGGATCACGTTGGAGCCTAAAACTGAAAATTTGGTGCCTGAACAGAAGATTTAGGTGCCTGAGTCTTGTGTTTTAAGTTCCTAAGTACCTTTGTGGATCAGAGCCATAAATGTTTTTGCAGATGCTGTAAGACAAGGGAGGAATTCATGTGGGGCCTAGTGCTGCTGGACAAGAAAGAGTGGAGGCAGCGTGATGTAAAATGAATAGCACACCAACCTGATAATAAGGAGCTCTGAGTGGTTCTGTCACAGACCTGTAGTGTGCTCACAGGCAATGCATTTTGCCTGTTTCCCTTGTTTTCTATTTGTTCCCCAGGCTGTGCAGCATGTTCATCCATACTTTATTAATTGCAGGATTGGAGCCTGGGATTATAAATTCTTTGGGGAAGGTGCTGTCTCTTACAGGGCATTTCTACAGTGCCTAATAGAATGGGACCTCTTAGCACAACTTTAGTACAAATCATTTATAACAACAGTAACCAGACAGTGGGCTGGACCAAAGAGGGAGCTGTTTCACCTCTGATTGCAGTGATATATGGTGCCACCTCGATGAACAGATCCAAGCATATGATCAAAAACAGTTAAACACAAAACAAGAACTTTTTTATTTTTACAATTACCCTGTGGCTGAGACTGAGACCACACCGTATCACGAATGTATTGCCAGAGCACTACCTGATTCCCCATTAAGTTTGTTCCTAAATAAGTGGTAAGAGGGTTTCTCTGTTGTTAGTTTGGTTTGAGCTTTTACAAGAACGCTTGACTATGCTGCACTGATGTCCCATAAATAGAAAAATTAAGCACTGAAAAGGGCAGCTGAATTAAAGTAGGTTAATGGGGAAGGTGGAGTTCCCAGCCTAGGGCATTTCCTATGTGTAGGATAGTAGAGCACAGCCAGCTGTGGGGAATTTATTAATTCCTCTTGCTAGTGCAGGAGGGAGGTTTATCCCACTAGGAGGTGAATGTGGTCATGAGAAGATGGATCTCTGAAGGGGACTGGCGCTGAGGTGAGGTCTTATCCCTCCCTCTGGGATTTTTTTAAAGCAATCCTTTGCTTTGGCTGAGGGAAAACAGGTTGTTGTTGTTGCAATTGGCTTTTAAAGGGGCAGGGCATTTAGTTTTCTGTTCTACCGTGAGGCATGCCCCCAATGAGCTGTGTGGAATCCTTTCCTGCCCTAGCTGGCCTGTCACAGAATATGTCTTTCTCATTCTGCTTTTAAAGCCCATCACAAATGTGAAGGCTTCATGTGTTGCAATCTGGTGTATCATTTATATGTATGGGACATAGGATTGTCAACCCTCCAGGACTGTCCTGGAGTGTCCAGGAATTAAAGATTCATCTTTAATTAAAGATAATGTTGTGTGATGAAACCTCCAGGAATTCATCCAACCAAAGTTGGCAACCCTAATTGGACAGCTAATTAGAGTTGATCAAGAACTTTCCATTGTTTGAAATGTAGGTGAAATTATTTTTGCATTTTTTGTGAAAAGTTGTTGCTATTTTTGACCATCATTATATAATATAAATCTTTTTTAAAATTTAAATGAAAATGCTTCACAAAAAACTATGAAAAATTTTCAGTTTTCTACACTTTTTGACCATCCCTGCTTATACTATCATCTAACTATATTTCCTGAAATCTTTAACTCCCGGTTGTATTCTGTTCTTTCAGTAGCACGATATATGAGGCTGAGGTTGGCCCCAATCCTGCAATTTACTCCACCCAGGAGAAATGAATTGTAGGATTGGGGCCATAAACCTCTTCCTCCAGCTGGATGGGAGAGGAGCATGGGAATAACAAAAAACAGATTTCAGTCTTATCCAGGGACAAAGCCCCTCCATCTCAGCAAACTATACTTCAGAATGATGTAGGATTTTAAATATATATATATATTTATTTATTTTACTTTCTACATATCCAGGGTATGCCCCCTTTGGCTGAAAGGAATGAGACTGCAGGCTCAGAAGAGCACAGGGCATAAACTTGAGGGTGGTTTGTGTCTAAGTGAGGGCCCCAGATGAACTCAAGGCAAAAAAAAAAAAGAAGTAAAGCACATACAATATTGCTATACAACAGACCGTATTACATAGTAATGTTGAATTTCATATTGATTAAAGGTGGATAACAGCTGATAGTCTTTACTGATTTAAAAAATGTAGCTAACACAGTAAACCATTATCAGTTGAATCAGCAATAAGCCACACACACACAGCAAGACTGGGGATTGAATCCTGAAATCAGATCTGTGTGTGCAGATCCTTGCACCCGTGTGGGACTGATTGCAGGACGGGGCCTAAAATGTTCTTCCAGTTCTTAAAGACAAATCAAGGTTTTGTTAATCTCTCTCTCTCAAAATCCCGGCTAATGATAGACTGCACGTAGTCAGGAAACTGGCACTGAAATAAACACAGGATATTCAATTTACTTATCAATTTGTGTATTTTCTGTTCAAATTTGTAAGGCATATGAAAAGATTATATAGAATATATATATGTATGTTGGAAAATACAAAGCAGCAGTTAGTAACATTTGGTGAGTGATTGCTCAGCTATCAACCCCAGTATTTAAGTTCTGTACTGCAAAACAGGTTTAAGTGTCTGTTTTCTCTAAAGAAAACAAAATAAAAATTCAATATTTAACACTGTTTAAAAATAACTGTGATACAAGATATGCATCAGAACTGAGTATTTTTATAATTGAACAGTGCAATCAAAGTATACCTGAAAACTGGAAATATACAATCAAGTAAAACTTGTAAGAAAAGTAGATGTCTGCTTGATATGGAATAGGTTGTCTATTCTAAAATAGAGGTTTTTTTTTTTTAAACTTAGCTATTCTATTAGACCCTTTGATCTATTTCATATCTATCTAGTATGCATAGATCTACTGCATGTTTAGTTACACATAACCCTATCAAAAATATATCGTGCAAAAGCATCAGAGACCGCCCCCCTGGTGACCATAGGGATAACACAGCTTTGGTAGCTGGGCTGGAGCTCTTGCTCCTAGGCAAGTGCAGGGGCTGTGGTTTGCACAGGTTGTGCCTCTGAGGGCTGTACCAACAGAAAGCAGCCTCTGTGGCTGTAACCCAATCATGTTCCATAGACCTCTGATGGTATGTTCCCTGTTCCAAGGGAATGGGGTAGTCTCACTGGTACTGGTTGTACAGCACATTCTGGAGTTCAGTCAGGAAGAAGGAAAGGGTTACCTCCTAAATAGCCCTCCTGCACCCATGTTCATTACTTTCTAATACCAAGTAGGGGTCGAGGAGGGGGCCTCAGTTCAGTAATCGGGGCTGGGAGGTTTTCCATTTCCTCTCCCAGTGCAGGGGGCAGGACCCCTCTCTTTTCACTTATACCAAGTAACTTTATTGCATAGTTCACAGGTCAGCTGCAATATTTATTCCTCTCCACTTCTAGGGCAGGAGGAAGTCCTGGGTTGTGCAGATCTTAGAGAGATGAGGGCTAGACATATACAGAATAGGGACTTGTGCAGTGGGAGAAACAGGGTTTTTGTTGAACTGATCCACAGCTCCTTGGCATATAGAGTTGTTGCTTTTGAAAGAGGGAGTTGGTTCCACATCAAACCAGATCTTTCTCCTGGATAAACCAGCCTAGTGTGCAGCCAACAGCAATAGTGCTGTCTTCCAAGATTTATGCAGCCCAGAAGGTCACAGATACTTTCTGTTAGGTACATCTTGAGAGAAAAATGTTCCTCTGCCTCTCAGACAAATCTCTAGGTCAACTGTCAGTTTTGACAATAGCGCTGAAATAAACTGAGAAATTAGGGGCAGCAATAAGCACGCTAGATGTTTAAGAAGTAGGGAATATTACTCTCAAAATTAAGTGTTTTTTCCATGAGTAACCAGCCACATTGTAATAATTGTGCGCCTAGCCCATTAATGTAATTTCAACAAATGTTTGAATTTTGATCTGATACCTTTAACACAGAATGCGTAACACACGTGTGTGTGTGTGCACGTGTGCACACGCATGTGTATACACACACAAGCAGACATACATATAATTTAAGACTGAGCTTAATATAATGCAAGAAAAGAAAAGGATTGGCCAGTCACAGAATTTAAAATTATGCTGCATAATGTACTCTGTTTTTATCTTGGTTTGTTCCCATCCAGCTCTCTGAAGAAATGTAGAATAGAGATATCTTTTAATCCATCACTTCATTCTCTTTGCAACATCCAAATATGCAAATTCAATTTCTCGATCGGCAGGACAAGTATTTGTGAATTCATCTCTAGCATAAGCACTGTTCAAATATCTCCAGATCCCAGTCATTTCAGATGGAAACTCAAAATTCCTATATTTTTTTGCCACAACCTTAAAAAAATAAAGAAAAAAAAGATTGCTAGAGGCATGAGCTGTGTAAACAAAGTGCACACAATGCTTGTAATCAATAGGTTTCTTCAATTCTTCTGTCTTAGAAATCCATTTTTGATATTTTAAATTTTGAAAAGAAAGACAAAGAGGAGAAAGATAACAGACGTGGGGAGGCTGGTTAGTTAGGGTATGTCTACACTACCCGCTGGATCGGCAGGCAACGATCGATCCAGCGGGAATCGATTTATCGTGTCTAGTCTAGACACAATAAATCAACCCCCGAGCGCTCTCATGTCAACTCCTGTACTCCACCGCTGCGAGAGGCACAGGCAGAGTCGACAGGGGAGCAGCAGCAATCGACTCACCGTGGTGAAGATACCACGGTAAGTCGATCTAAGTACGTTGACTTCAGCTACATTATTTACGTAGCTGAAGTTGTGTTACTTAGATCGATCCCCCCCTAGTGTAGACCAAGCCTTAGGGAGGGACTGTCAAGTAGTTTAGGCTCAAAAATTTAGGTTTTGGGGTGAAAAGACTTTACAAAACCAAATAACTGAGATTTTCAAAGCTGCCTAAGGACTTTGGTTGCCCAATTCCCATTCATTTCTAACTGCATACCCAAATTCCATAGGTGGATTTGAAAAGCCCACCGACTATGAACAGAAATATTTTAATAGATATTTGGTTGATATTTTAAGGCAAAGAGCTTATTTGGAACATATACAACTTGTGACACATGCCAGTTTTAATTAATACTTACTTCACATACTGAAACTTGAGATAAAAGATATTAGAGGAATATACCCTACCAGAGGTGATCTAAAACCAAGATGGAAGCAAATTTTGAATAAAAAATGCACTTGCGTACTCACAAATGATGTGTCAACTGTACCTTCCCTCTCACTGAAAGACTTTGCCTGGTCAGGTAAAAGCACAGCTCCTGCACCTCTGGGTCCTGCTACCTGACACAGCAGTCAACCTGCATGGTCTTAGGCATTGACAGGAGAGGGCACTACAGAGAGAGTTCATTGCCTGTGAGAAGTACCAAAGAACTCACACATCAAATTTCAGCCCCAAATTTATGAGGGAATAATGAAAGAGAAAAATATTCAGAATCAGTCCATATATGGCAATTGGGTGGGCGCAGTCCCCACCTCAGGGAACCGGGCAGACTTAGGAAGGCATGTAAGGCCAGAATGTCATTATGTGTGTGAGAGTTTGGGGAATCTGTCTGGTGTCTTACGGATTTCATTTTGTTTTATGAGGGGGTGCATAAGCTATTGGGGAGACTTGGGGGATCAGCACTGGTCTTGGGCCTACGGCCATTGGACCTCAGGGTTCCACAGCCCAAGAAGAGGTACTAGACATGTACTCTGTACCCTAGGAGTCTGCCAGAGAGGCTGGATGCTGCTCTGACCCAGTAGACTAGGAAGCAGTTGGGATCCAGCAGTTGTGTCCAATAAAGCAGCCAGGGCCTGAATGCATAAAAGGCATTAGTCGGGGGTGGGGGGCAGAGGAGGACTTCCCTCATAACTTTTAGCCCAATGGTTAGGGTACTCACTTGGGATAAGGGAGACCCCTGCCTCACCTCAGGGGGAAAAGGGATTTGAACAGGGATCTGCTACCTCTCAGGAGAGTGCTCCAACCATCAGGCTATGAAATATTCTGATGTAGGGAGTCCCTCAATCTCGCCTACTTAAGCTGTTGCATGGTGGATAAATAATGAAAGACTCATTGGAGCAGGGGGGGCAGATCCTAGGTCTCCCATATCCTCAGTAAGTGTGCTAACCACCAGGCTACAGAGTCATGCTCATGCGGGTACTCTCTCTGGTCCAAATGCCTCTTAGAGTGAGAGCGAGTGAGCACATGTACCTTTTCAGGTCCCACACGTGAGTTAAACAACCAAACACATGACTTCCTCTGGTTTGTGAATCACTCTGGGGCTTAGGCAGAAGCTAGGCATCCAGATGCCCAAAGGGAGGCAACAGGGTGCATGCTTAGAGGCAGAAACGTAGGTGCCTAAGGAACTTTTACTGAAAAAACCTAGGCATCGAGTGAGATTAGGCACTTACAGGTTTCAGCGAGAGTTTTATGATCACACAGTGGTCCCAAAACTGGAACTAAGACACACAAAACAAGGACTTAGGCTCCTAACTCCTTTTGTGCATTCAGCCCCTTGTGCCCAGCTACAAGGAGAACCTCGGCGATGGCTAGAACAATGTGACTGTAGCCAAGACAGTAATGCTATCCTGGAATCAATAATAGCCTCCACTGCTGCCTAATGTGAGAGGCTGCAGAGCATCTATCTGCTAGCAGCACACTCTTAGCTAAATTATTTATTTTTAGCTAGGTCATCTAACAAGAGTGTGGAATCCAGACATTAGGAATTATATTGTCAGATAAAAAATGGAATTAGGGCATGATGCTGTTGTTTGAGTAACCCCAAAGGATATTAGACATGCTAGACTAAATTTTACTCTGACTCACATTCTCACCCTGGGTTGAGATAGCATTTGTGTGTCTGTTTCAGTAAAGATGTGGGTTTTTTTGTCATTTTTAAATGCACTTGTGCATCAGTGTTGCCAGTCTTTGCACATCATAGACGAGAAAATCCAAACCTTAATGATGTGGAGCTTTGGTAAGAGGTTGCAGTCTGCTAAGGTGAGCTCATCTCCATCCAGGAATTTCCTGCTGGAAACAGTGATGTCTTCAGTGCTATAGGCATCAATTTCATCAGGCAAGGGGGTATTTAAATAGTTATCCAGCCTCCTTAGAGCCTTAAGTAAGGATTTTTCCAAATCTAGAGTCAGAAAAATAGAGATTAGAGAAAAGTGAACTGAGTTCACTCTAAAAGTAGAAGAAACCCAGGAGATCGGATATTTCCAAACACTAAGCCCACTCACACGGAAGTCCTCCCATGCCAACCTCAATGCATAGGAAAAACTCTTGTCATATTCCCTTATCCTAATTCAAATCCCTCCTGAGAACTACCTGTGCTAGGATGGTTATAAAGCATTTCCATCTGACATTAGTTAGTTAGGCAACAGGTGAGCTGTGACTTCTGTTTTTTTTTTCCCTAATCTGTTCAGTTTATTATTACCCCATTCTCTGAAACCATCCACATCGTTTATCCGTTTCTGCCATTAATCCTATCTGAAATGTAGGCCTAGTTTACACCAGAAAAGGTTTGCCAGTATAGCTGTACTGGAATAGTCAATAGTCACACTGGCAAACCAGCCTACTGTAAATGCGGCTTCTGTTGGCAGAAGAGTGATTTTTCTGGTATAGCTCACGCTGGTTCCTCAAGCAAAATAAGCTCCATCAGTAAAAGCACTTTTATGCTGGTTTAACTGCATCTACACAAGGGCTTTTGCTGGGATAGAAATGTCATTAAAAAAATCACCTCCCCCATAACCAGTAATACGCTGGAGGCAAACGTTTTAAGTGTGTACCTGTCCATAGAGCTCTCTGGGATATAATGTTTGTTAAGTACAGCTGCCATATCTGTACCCTCTCCAGCACAATGGGGCCCTGATCCTTTACTGGGCTTGCTAAGTGTTAATGTAATAAGGGAATAGCAAAAGTGGTAGTGGAGATATACCTATCTCATAGAACTGGAAGGGATCCTGAAAGGTCATCGAGTCCAGCCCCCTGCCCTCACTAGCAGGACCAAGTACTGATTTTGCCCCAGATCCCTAAGTGGCCCCAACAAGGATTGAACTCACAACCCTGGGTTGAGCAGGCTAATGCTCAAACCACTGAGCTATCCCTCCCCCTGAAAAAATAAAGGAAGCCCCCCAGTGCAGGGATGGGAATCATAGAATACCAGGGTTAGAAGGGACCTGTGGAGGTCAGCTAGCCCAACCCCCTACTCAAAGCAGGACAAATCCCCAGACAGATTTTTGCCCAAGATCCCTAAATGGCCCCCTCAAGGATTGAGCTCACAACCCTGAGTTTAGTGAGCCAATGCTCAAACCACTGAGCAATCCCTCCCCTGTTGAGGTCAATTGGTACAGAATTACCAAAATCAGGTTTGGTGTAGCTAAACTTAATGGATTTATATTAAAGATTAATTTGGTTCTGTGATTCCTTCTGATGTTTATTTACCTATTCCTCTCTACCCCCATTTAAAAAGGTGTATTTATAAAAAAAACAAATACCAAACTAACAAAAAACCCAGCACACCCTTCAAACCCTCTGAAACATACTTTAACATAAAAGTACATCACTTCAAAAGATTAGCTTAGTGCAATTTAAAAAAAAGTTTGCCCTTTTTCTTTATTAGAGTGGTGGATGGGGGTGGGGAATGTCTGCAAATCAAACAAAAACTTATCTTTTTTCTTTCTCTAGAAGAATGGTAAAACCAATTGAGTTGAAATGGTTTATAAAATATCCTTTTGGACACGTTTATACCAAATTTCAGAATGAAGGGCTGATTGAGAATATTCAGTCAAAACAGTTTTTGACAGAAAATTGGGTTTGCAACTAACAATTTTTTTGTGAAAAGTGTTTTCTTTCTGTAGAAAAGTTTGATTTTTCATCAAAAAACCAACCACCTGAAAATCTAAATATTTCAGCCAAAACCCAAGCTTTTGATTTGGAAATGCTGCCATGGTGCCTCCGAAGAGCTGTAATTTAGGGTATGTCTGCACTGCAATTAAAAACCCATGGCTGACCCTTGCCAGCTGACTCAGGCTTGTGGGACTGGGGCTAATGGGCTGTTTAATTGCTGTGTACATGTTCGGGCTCGGGCTGCAGATCTCAGACCCTTCAAGCTTGGGCTTCAGATGGAGCCCAAATGTCTACATCACAATTAAACAGCTCCTTAGCCTGAGCATGGGCCAGCTGATTTGGGGTGAGTTTTTAATTGCAGTGTAGACATACCTTTTGTTGATTCATGTCTCCATTCGCCTCTATGAGCCAGGCTTAGGGTGACCAGATCACCCAAGTCAAATATCGGGCCGTGGGGGGGTGTGGTGGGGGGCGGGAAACCCGAAAAACCCCAAACCCTA